GGGTTCTACTTATTCTAAATTGCGAAGCTCAACTTATCGATGAATGATTCACATTCATAACGATTAGCTGATTAAATATAGAAATAGGTCTTGCTCTGACTACTACTGTGTTATAATCTTGTTTGACAATTAAATGTCAAACATGACCTGATTGTATTTTATAGATTGATTTAGATAGATTTATTCCAATATAAATAGACAGCTTCTTGTCAAGCAATAAATCAATAGTTTTGTATCTGGTAAACGAAGTCTTTATTACATTCTTATATTTTTATATCATATACAATCACCTGCTGTGCTCAATTTCAAGACCTGGCACAACATGCGTGACATTTGAGTCTTATTTTTTTTAGTTACTTGCTTTTAGTTATACCATTCCATTGCAGAAACTAAGTTCCTGAATCTGATGTTGAAAACTAAGAGCGTCTCATCTTGGATATATATAGTGATCTATGCTGTATGTTTGAAATAAATCGAACTTTCTTATACGTTCTGTCTGTTGTGCCAGGTCTTGAAAATGAGTACAGCAGGTGATTGTATGTGTTTTAATATACGAAATAGATATACAATTAAAACTGGATATATTTATTCGTATAAAAAAATAAGATGATTCCTCTCTACACAACATTTGCCTAGACTATTTATACTTTTCGAGTGCTGACTGTAATGAAATGGCACCTATTATATAGCACCACAATTACATTAAAATAAAATCCAGATGGATCATGGCTGACCCATCCAAGAAAGAAATACATGAAAAGCACAAGTAAACATTAACAAGTGTTGGTAGAGGCTTGCACTCCTGATCAAAGTACAATCTCCTACAACCCTGGCACATGCTAATGTTGAACAACGCTACTCATAATTACAAATAAAGAAATTCTAAACATGTATAAACAATGCAATTGTTAAAACAATTGCAATAATTCTAGATGCCAGAAATGGCTTGTTTATTACACAATAAGGAAAGCTCAGTCGCATTAGAAATAATCAGGATCCTCAAATATTACAATCCTGCCCAAAACCATAGTATCAATTTCAATACCAACATATCGAAATCTCAACTACAATACAAGTGAGAGAATGTCAACAAAAGTCATTCTTCAAATAAGCTGTAAAATAAGCATTCTCACTGTAGCGAGGCAATTTTACAAGTAGTATAAATACAAGCTCTCTTAAAGATCATGTATCTTTTCTTCAGTTTTCTTTTAATCGAAAATAAAGGTGGAAAGACTATAATTGTATTTCTCTGGCTTTATTTTTTTTATTTTTTTTATTTTCACATAAAATTGATCCCAATTTTATTGCACTGACATCGGTTGCATGCTTGTGGAATCGAGGCTTAATAAACTTGCACCAGATAGAACCAATTACTAGCCATGTGCTGCTAGTACAAGTAATCGTAAACTAGTTATTACCAGAAGGAGACAGGAAGGATAGTGGTCTTGAGAAAGAGTATAATCGCCTTGTGGTATAAAGGATTTCTAATGAGTGTAACCATGGTATAATACTTTTGCATAATTGTGAGAATACCCAAGTTGGATCTCAGGCACAACATCAACTCAACAACCCACCTCGCTTAGCCTTTACATCCTAAACAGTATGTGATATAAAAATATTAGAATGTAGTAATAAAGACTTTTAGCTTACGAGATACAAAACTATTGATTTATTGATTGACAAGAAGCTGTCTATTTATATTAGAATAATCTATCTAAATCAATCTATAAAAAATACAATCAGGTCATGTTTGACATTTTTCTTGTCAATCAATAAATCAATAGTTTTGTATCTCGTAAGCTAAAAGTCTTTATTGTTGTATCCATATAAAGGCTACATATGTCATATCTAACTTAGTCGTAATGCACGGATCATGATATTAATTGTTGGTAATTCTTTTACAAATAAGGAATAAGCTACAAGTTGTAATTGGACCTCTTGCAAGGTTCCAGGCTTATTCAAAGAATACATCTAGATCAGATCGCGGGATGTCGGGAAGACATCCTACCCAATCTTCTCTTTAATGTAAAATAGAAAGATAGGTCTGTCCTGGAAATGCTGTGATTTAATAAGGTTTGACACTTCTTGTCAAACATCAGATGTTATGTGGATAAACATTGATTGGGATATATTTTAGTATAAATAGAGATCATATCTTATGTCAATAAAAGTCTTCAGTTTTGTATCTGGTTTTATTCAGAAAGTCTTTATTACTTTATACAAATCTTATTTACATAACATTACGCTGCGCCCTTTGACACTGGCACAACATTTATTACTACATTCTAATATTTTTATATCACATACAATCACCTGCTGTACTCATTTTCAAGACCTGGCACAACAGACAGAACGTATAAGAAAGTTCGATTTATTTCAAACATACAGCATAGATCACTATATATATCCAAGATGAGACGCTCTTAGTTTTCAACATCAGATTCAGGAACTTAGTTTCTATTGGCTTAAACTTCGATCACGTGCAAATAATTAATTATTATTCCAAAATTAATTAATAGTTGTCACAAGCATTGATAAATGTCAAGTTCTCTTTTATGATTACCTTCGTAAGTGAGTAGGTAAGTCAAAGTGATATAAATTTGTTTGTAAATAGGGAGACTGTAAGAGCTATTTAAATTGTATATCGAGAAAATGAATTAAGATCTAGGGTAGTTGGTGTTAAATGTAGAAAAATAACAATAGTAACTAAAGTGTAAAAGAAAGAAAAATTCGATATCGTTTATTAAAAATAAAATGATCATTTTTATACGATTTCATAATGTCTATCTACATCTATATGTCTACTTTCTAAAATTTCAAACCATCATAAACTGTCAAATCGAACTGTCAAATCTCCATTTCAAAGTAAAAATAAATGCCCCAGATCAAAATGTAACCATGAACTTCAACATTTAGCCATCGGCAACAATTACATAATCCAAAATAAGAGGCTAAATTTAGATTGACCTTCACCTCAGAACACTTGAGACTCCAGAATAAACATGCATTCAAACACCATTTAAAAAATACGTATTACTTGACTCTTCATAAACATCACGTGAAAATGAGTTGCCTTTTTGAGAAATAGTATATCGTAAGTTGACAGCAGAAAAAATACGCATGTATCAGTGATACGCTGCGGTGCTTGTTCGTGAAATATTTAGATAGATTTTGGGTACTTTCTAACAAATATACAAGGTGTACGAGGAATGACCTAATATGTTTGTTGTTGCAATAATGTTCTTGATAAATTATAGATTTGCGAAGAATCTCAGCGATATAGACCAAATGGATAAAGTATGCTATGAATTATTTAGACGAAAGAAAGCCCCTTTTTTATTTAAGCCATGTGTCGTTTTGACATGTAACCGCTAGAACAATATTTATCATTTAAAACCTTGATTCTTTTTTTGTAAAGTCCGTTCAGGAACATCTTCTTATTATGGTAATTTTCGATTCAAATCCCGAAAATATGGCAGCATCACAAAATTCACTTATACCCGTAACATCAGCATAAAATGCCCCAATAGCACAGTGGTAGTGCGCTTGACTTGTAATCAAGAGGTCCGTTGTTCAATCCAGCGTTGGGGCATATTTCCTTTTGCTAATTTTGCACTAAAAAAGTGGTGAATGTAGTGATTCTAGGTGTATAGGGAATGTAAAATAAACAGCATCTTGTATACACTGCAAACTAAATTGTACTTTTGATGTATCTCTGCAAACGGCTCGTTTAATGCTGGTTGTTGGTGCTCTCCAGCGTAGTGCAGCGTGTGTTGCAGTAAAGCCCTTTTTTCTTTCTTTTAATGTATTATCACAATACTTGAGCCATTCTTATACCAATGCAACATCGACCACCGTTGTCTGCTGCTATCGTCATTTATTTAAAAAACATTCCTATTCCAAAAGTATGGAGTCCGGATGCAAAAAGTACTGTATGCACATGGAAGCTTAAATACATGTACGCACTTCTAATCAGATCATCTGATAAGTGTCCCTGCCTCAGGTCGCTGCAAGCTATCTTGCCGTACCCAGTGCCCCCGTCTTTCCATCCTCTTGTGTCCGATGGCATGCACTGCTAATTTTTCTCTTTTGTTCCTTGTCTAGCAACTATTGTCTAATTTCTTGACAAATGCACATGACATATGATGACGCTCATCGAGCATAGCTAACTATATATACTGTCAACAACTAATCGCGAAGCATCAAGAAAGTAATAGACCCCACCATATATTTACTACAATTTCTATATATAAACACCCTTAAGAATCATCCCAATATCACTCTCACGTCCTGACAACCTATACTTTTGGAAACAGCTCGATACATCAAATATAACATGTATAGGTAGTTAAAATCTGCATACATAAACTTTTTTTTTGCTAGATACAAAGAGCTTGTATGCTCTGTTTTCTCTGTTAGGCCAACACTGTTTCGTCGAATAATGCTTTCTATCAAAGCTTGATTGGAATGCTGTCCAATATAAAAATGCAATATCTCTTGATGTCATTGATTACAAGAATAATCTGATGATCTGATATTCCTTCGGGAGACGAATCTTGAGGAACAGGGGCATCTAATCATCGCCTATTATTGGTTAAACTAAACATTTTTTAACAGTGATATAAAAATCTAGAATCTGATAATCTCTTTACTTGTATCTTCTTTTCTTTTTTCTATTTATCACATGAAAAAACATCATTCAAGTATATTTCCATACATAAGAACGTGGACCAACTTTTGGCAGCTGGGAATGGCTTATGCGTTTTTTTGGTGGTCGTTATTTATCGTTTACTGTATATGCTACCAGCTGAATAGAATCCGAGTATACAACATTAGAAAGAGACGATTATCAGATACACAGGACGTGGTAACCGAATTGCCAGGGGCTAAATTCTGGCGCAAGCTGGATCGTGTTATCCGTATTCCTTATGTCACCGAGATGATATCAATTAAAATTATACTGGCAACTACTATTTTTAGTCTGATCAATCTGTATTCCATCTTTTGGCTTATACCCTACGAACCAGATCCGTATCACCCCGCAGTTATTGACCGTCGGGCTGCTTTTCTCAGCATGGTGGATTGGGGATTCGTCTTCTTTTTCGCTCAAAGAAATTCTATCTTACCAAAACTTTGTGGTTGGACGCTTGAAGAGTTGATACCTTATCATCGCATCATTTCCCGGGTTGGATTCTTGAATCTAATGCCCCATGTCATCTACAGATGGTAGTATTTGCTGTATAACTTTAATTAATGTCTTTTTCTCATGCGTAATATGCTAGTTATGATGGATACATGGAGCAACATCATATTTTTGATGCATTTTTCAAGGATTGGGAATACGTTACAGGCACAATTGCTACAATTTCTTTTATCATCATGTTTCTCACATCTTTAGAGCACATTCGACGACATTATTTCGAAATTTTCTACTGGTGTCATGTCATTTTTGTCTCTATTGCCATCGTCTTTACATGCTGGCACTACAATACCTGCTTTGCGTTCTTTGTTCCTCCAGCATTATTGTGGGTTACTGACCGAGCCGTCCGAGCATACAAATCTTGGTTTAATAGAGCGACTTTTGTTCAAGTCGATCAAGTCGCACCTCAAACAGCCAAACAAGAAGGAATAGTTCGAATTATTTTCGCAAATAAGATACTGAAAAACTTCAAGGCCGGCCAATATGTCTTCGCAGCCATGGTTTTGAACGGAAACAAGCTCTGGGAATATGCCAACTGGCATCCTTTTACGATCTCTGAAGTATTTCACAGTGATAGCGCATATAATCACCATTTCATTGAAGAACGCATTATTGGTAGAGATATCAACGATGAAACTAGCAAATTATTGCAAAAAAAGCAAGGATCCTACAGCAGTGTTTCCAGTATCGATTCCTTACCAGGCAGCCTACATCGTCGTCGTAAATTAACAAGTACGCAAGATGATGTGACCATGGCCTCATTTCACATTAAAGCCTTGGGCACAAAAACTCAAACTTTACTTGATTCATCTTCGGTTGAGAGCAAAAAGCTAAAAATATACATTGATGGGCTCTACGGACCTCAATTGCCATTTCAAGACTATCCAATTCTTGGACTGTTCGCTACTGGTATTGGCGCCACTCCTGCAATGGCTATTGTTCAAAATATTATAGAGAAACGATCAAATGGTGTCCGTACCGTGACAACAAATCACATATATATCACCTGGGCTATTCGTGTTACAGGTAAATTACAATACAAGTATATATATATACCATTTATATTTACAAATCTAAAATAGACGAAATTGATCCTTTCATAAGCATGTTCAGACATTGGACAAGTCTTATTCATTCGGCTATTTTACCAGTTCGATTATCTGTCTCTGTTTATGTTACCAGAATGAAGCAAGGCCGGCATGATTTAAGCCAGTTGGAGCCTTTCTCGTTATTCTTTGGCAAACGTCCTGACGTATCTGCAGAAATGAGCAAGATCAAAGCAGCACATAATCCATATCATCGAGTCTGGGTGCATGTATGCGGATCTACATCGTTCACTCGCACTGTCATTAATGAGGCTGTTGAGCATGATTTTGATATGCATCATGAAACCTTTGAATTTTAAATATCATATTATTGCATTGCATTCCCACTATATATCTATTGCTCCTCCCTCCCTCCTTTAATTCATTGTAATAACATTGTAACATATCAAATCAGCTTGCTATTTACAGTTTTCAATCATAAGCGTATGTCAAGTTACATAATTACTTGATTTAGCCTGTTATGCAAAAACAACGGTATATCTCTCATTAGTAAATATGCATGCTGATCGAGAAGAATGTGACGAGTTCATAGTGCATATTACTGTCATGATTCGGTTTATCACACAGAAAATACTCACAGTTTTGCAACAAGTATGAAAGCTGATAACTCACCAACAGAATGCATAGATAAACATGCATGTTTACCCAGCTATACAGTTTCAACTGCTCCACATGCGGTCAAGACCCATGCTTCAACCTATATTTAGGGTGAAATGTATATGGTATTTATTGGCTTTTCATCTAAAACGTGTTTGAACAACAACAGAATGTATTAAAACAAAAAATAAAACAACCAAGCACCTTGATAAACACGTACATGCTTATTCACGGTTTTATACCTTGGAAGATTTGCGAAATGTTTAGTCAAAAGACTACAAGAGAATAAGGTGCCCCGCATCAAAAATCAAAAATATCATGTATAATGATTCATCATTAGCACGCATAAAATTATCTAATATTTGTTGAAAGGACAAAACACACAAAATTTATATACGAAAAATTCGTGCGCAAAACAGTCAGAATACCGTATATGAGATGATAAAACACAAATACAAACATCGGTGCATACAAAGAAATGTGCCCCTTTTGTTTGGTTCATAAGGCATACAGCATTTGTTACACATTAAAAGGTTAAAATAGGCACACATGAACACATACACGCGCGCACACATTCATGATGAGGCAACTGACGACTCTATAATGCTTTATATGCCATGAGCGTTGCCAAGATTATGACACATTAAAAAGACGTACATGGTATCATTAATATAAAAAAATCAATTTTTTATTAAAAATTAGGAGTAGAATATATATAATCATCGTGGCTCAATTACGAGCGGATTTCTATATATAGTTATTCCATAGAGGGATTGACTCATTTACATGCAAGTTTCACAAGCTTTTATGTTGATATACTGTCTTGGATTGATATTATAATGGTGTCAAGATAAACCAAGCGTTTATTGTATACAAAAATGTGATAGCAAAAAGCAGATTATAGAGTAAAAATAGTAGTTTTGACCGTTGATTGTTGTCAAAGCACATTTTAAGGAGGACTAACAAAAAGAAAGAGCAAGAGAGACAAAGAGCAAGAAAGCGAGTAAAGTAAGGGTATCTGTGAGTTATTTCAAAGGTGGAAGGATACTAGCCGATTTATTGGATCGGTTGTAGCAGTTTTCGGTTTCTTGTCGTCTGAAGAGGTATTAAACAGGTGTTGGAATAATCTTTTTGATGAAGTGAGGAATACTGTAGATTGCTGCTGTTGCTGCTGCTGCTGCTGTTGATCTTTCTGTTGCGACGATCGTAGTTGTCGATGCTTTTCACGAAGATATATAGGATCAAGATCAGATTGGAAAAAAGCCATTTTTGGATATTGTGATGAGAGGTAAAGAAACAAAGGTGTATTTGGCATCCATGCAGAGTTCATTGTCAATTATTACGCAGGTGCTGGTAAATTAAAACATGACTATTTATGGCCCTTTTTTTTTTTAGTGAAGTAACTCTGCAGTCCTATACATAGATGTCCTGGTGAGGGAAAGACAAAAGAGTAAATACATAGTTGGTTGATGCAAAAACTAGGACACAGAGTCCGTTAAACCGCAAAGGGCGCTACGCGCTAATGAGATTCTAGCTTCTCATCCTAGAGTATATCATCACAACGGCGTTATTGGTTTACTACACCCATACCCCTTTAGGCACCCGGATGTAGAGAACAACATAGTTATTACAGCAACCACATTGCGTTTCCAAATTAAACTTAAGTCTCGAGGAGGAAGAGAGAGATCT